TCGAATGTCTATCCACACTGATGAGCTGTGATACAGCGAAACAGTCTGTAGACGATATATATATCATTACTATAAACTTTAATAATTATGTCTACGAAACTCGGGATGCTGAAAGTAACATCAATTAGCTAAGTGACAAATTTTATATTTATATTAATCCATCAATCAAAGTATAAGATTGGTGTATACAGAATAAATTCCAATAACCAAAAATACTATTCTTAAAAGAGTGCTCAATACAGAGTAGAGAAAATAAAATTTATCAGAAAACAGAAATATGTTATAAAATCACTACAAATATAGCCATTTTGTTTCAACATTTCTAGTGTCTTATCAAGTGTTGGTATTCCAACACCTTTTACTCGATAAGACGTCAGAAGTGTTGAAACAAAATGGCTATTTTTATAGTGATTTTATAACATATTTGTTGTAATTTTCGAATAAATTATATATATATATATATATATATATATATGACCTGATGACCATGAAGAATCAAGTAGCTAAGTTCTTTTATATTTTATTATCTTACGTTTTAATTAATTTAATTTAGTAAGTATTGGGAAGATTTATTGCATATTTTATAAAATTTAACAGTTACTAAATATGTGTATTTAAATATGTCTGTGCACGTATATATATATATATATATATATATATATATATATATATATATATATATATTATGTGTGTGTGTGTATGTAAGCAAATATATGGATATAGATCCGACAGTATGAAGAAAAATATACGGAAAAAACAAACAAAAATCCTAATATGCAATTATGCTGTTTTAATGTTAATATAATGTCAACGTTTGACGTTTCGGTCTAGTACGTCTTCAGGACATATTCATAAAACATAATTAACATTAGATTATATTTAATTCAACATGAAAAGACGATGGACATAAGAGTAATAGATTCTTATATTTTCGTATAAGCTTGAAGTCTTCCATGTTATAAAGTAAATTCAGGTTTGTATTTCCAGTAGACAGTATGTAAGCAAATATGTTGAATTAAATATAGTCTAATGTTAATTATGTTTTATGAATATGTCCTGAAGAAGGCCTACTAGACAGAAACATCAGACGTTGACATTATATCAACATTAAAACAGCATAATTGCATATTAGGATTTTTGTTTGTTTTTTCCGTATATTTTTCTTCATATATATATATATATATATATATATATATATATATTATAAAGAAAAAACAAGTAAATGTAATATAATTACTTACAGTATATAAAATTATTTTTCATGTTAAATATAAGTATGTATACTACCTGATTGCCCCTTTTTTATCTTTAAATTTTTAAATATTATTTAAGGAAAATTTTTGACAATGACGGCATATAATAGCTATTTCATTATCTCTGATTCAGTAATTTTTTATTTTTTATAAACTTAGTAATATAGAGTTTCTCGCGTATGCACAAAGGACATGGGTCGTTTAATGACTCACATATTCTAGCTTTTCTTATTAACTTACATTTTACTGTAGGTGTTTTTATTTGATTCTTTTAGATGCCAGAAGTATTTTGAGAGAGATGTCTGATTTTTATATTTATTTATTCTAAATGAAGTTTGATGTTGGTTGAATCTTTTTTTGAATTCATATTAGTGCAACCTATATATATTTTTATGTTTTCAGGACTTTCAATCGAAGAGATATTGCATTGGTATACTAATGATTCAGTGCAACATTTATTTTGTAGAGGGCAATTATGAGGGTTTCTACAGTTACATAGTTTTTGTTTATTTCCATCAGTTTTTATCTTTATTTTTCCATTGTCTAAAAAAAATGTATGCTAACCTAAACACCTCTAAAAAAAAGTACTACCGGCACTAAAATGAATCCAATAAAACACCTACTGAAAAATGAAATTATAACGAAAAGCTAGATGATGTAGGCCTGTGAACGACCCATGTCCTTTGTACATACATATAAAACTTTATTACTTAGTTTATATATATTTAAAATAAATAAATAAATTAATTAATAAATAAAGTTTACTAAATCTGAGAAATGAATTAGCTATTTTTCCAGTAAGTGCCATAAATATTACTTAAATAATATTTAAATATAAAAAAAAAAATCGTAATATACATATACTTTGATATGGAAAAATAATTTTACTTACTATAAGTAATTTCAAATACATTTCCTTCTGTTATAAAGTAATATAGTCTATTAAAAATAACAATGAAAATATTTTAAAGTTGTAATTAAAATTGTAGTTAAATAAAATGAATTCTAACCTAAACTTCTTTTTACTTAGTACTACACGCACTTAAAAGAATCCAATAAAACACCTATAGTAAAATAAAATTAATATGAAATGCCAGAAGATGTAAGTTTATGAATGACCCATGTCCTTTTTACTTACATAAGAAACAATATATTACTAGGTTTATATATATATAAAAAAATAAAAAAGTTACTAAATCAGTAAATTAAGTAACTATTTTTGCCGTCATTGTCATAAATTTTACTTAAAAAAAATAAAAACCCTAATATACATACTTATACTTGATGTAAAAATAATCCTACATAATATAAGGGATTCTAATACATTTAACTGTTCATAAAAAAAAATATAGTATAATAAAAAATTAAAAATGAGAATATTTCAAATCGTAGTTAAATAAAAAGTTGTAATCTGAACACCCCGAAAATCTCTTAAATTCACAAATAGGGAAAAAAAATGCCGTAAGAATTTTTTTGCCGTTAACAATAAATTTAAAAAAATCCAGACGACATGCATTCAACGGTTGTCAGTTCTCATTGAAAAATACATCCCTACCCCTTACCAAAATGTAGCTAATAACCGATACAATGATACAGACATAAGGAAAACCCAGACAACCATTGTCCAATTGAAGTAGATTTATCTGTAACCATGGAAACGTGATTTTAACTGTGTCTTTAAAACCCAGTAATTTTAAAAGTTACTCAAAAATTCGCTTGAGGATGAAATGGAACTAATGTCTTTAATTTAATTGCAAAATTAAATTCGTGGCTTTTAGCTTCCATTTTTGAAACATGGTTAGAACTGCGTAGCGGAAAAAACCCATATTTTAAATCAATTAATTTATAATATATATATATATATATATATATATATATATATATATATATATATATATATATATATATATATATATACACACACTATCTCTGTAACCGTGTGGGTGTGTTCAGAAGGAAATGCTAAAAATAAATAGTCGAATATCACAATGGGTTTATTCAAATTCAACATTTTAGGCTTCACTGATTTAATTTGTCTGTTGACAGGGTAAACCTGTTACAGACGACAGAGCTCGGCGATACCTCTATTCTCTTCAGGAAAGACGACTTCTCGTAAAGCAACATAAAAAGGGATAAATCACTGAGCCTCATGTGTATTTTAGAAGTATATAATTGTAGCAACTAATACATTGGTGACAATTGGTTTTTATCAATATTTATGGAGGAAATCTTTTGATTCGGATGAACATGTGGACTAGGGTGTGTGTGTGTGTAGGGGTGGCTATCTACTGGCAATGGAAATCAATATTGTACACCGTAGCATTTGAAAGGGACTGAACACTGATGTCAGGTTTAGTTTGTTTTACGGTATATCGCACTTTTCAGGTTATTTAATTCTCTATTTTGTCGTTTTTATAAGCAATACAAAGGTTTTTTTTTGTTGTTTTTTTTTTTTTTTTTTTACTAATTTTCACCCAATACAAGGCCCAAGAGCCACTCAAGGTAGAAGGTTACTGTGTGGACTGAATATTAACCTCTGAAAGAACAAGCGTTATGCGTATAAAGCTGAAGCAGAATTTAGCAGGAGCTGGAAACCCAATCCTAAATAAGAGATAAGGGAAAAACCTCTACTCCTGTTCAAATGTTCGGGGAGTTGTGCGGGCCGGACGATAGACGAACATATCTACTGGTTCAGTTTGTACGAAACAAAAGAAAAAGTAGACATGGAACAAAGTTTTCACGAGAATAAAAAAATGTAGACATAAGCATAATAAACAGAAATGAAGTGGTTAAATGTAACTGTAATTTCTATTTAAACTGTTTCGTTTCTCGCACTTCTCGTTTGCGGAGCTCTCTTCCGGCTTCTTGCTTTCCAGACAATTTTGACTTTTAAAAATGTAAATGCAATATCGATAGTTACCATCTATCTTAATTCCTGTACTTTTACTGTCCTTTTGTAGCGGACCGGTGTATGTACGCGTTGTGAGATGAACACGAGTGGGGCCCACTACAAATATGGCGGGCTCATGAGAAGTCCATCAATAGAAATGTAAAAAGAAAAATGGAAGTTTGTGGTCAAAGTATGTATAGTAAATGTGAATGTTCGTACGTACGTGTGTGTGTGTGTATAATGTTCATGCGTGTTTCTCGAAGGAAACGCATAGTGCTCCCACAAAGGGGAGAACGCAATATTCACGAGAGATTTACATTTTGTCGTATCAACTGAAAAGTGAGGAGAGAGAGAGAGAGAGAGAGAGAGAGAGAGAGAGAGAGAGAGAGAGAGAGAGAGAGGATATCTGATTAAGTATATATAGTAATTCGAGAGCTCCACCAAGTGGTGGTTCCAAAATTTAGGAGGAGATAACTCCGTCACTCTCTCTTGTTTAATGATAAAATAATGTTTTTTTTTCTCATATTCTTGATTTAGTAACCCCTTGCGTCTTAGTGATTTTATTGCATTCCTTTGGGTGAAATAATTACAAAGAGAAGCTGTTCTGTATTAATAAAACCAAAACTGTATGTGAAATAATCCTTTTTCTGGATTGAAGAGATAGCACAACCTCTGACGTTTTCATTTTCTGATTGAAAAGGAAGCCGTGTCGGATAAAAAGTACAAACCAACAAACAACGAAGACGAAAGGAAAGAAATTCAGAATTGCAGGATTACTTTGGAATTAGATTGGAACGATGGAATAAGTGAAAAGAAAAAAAAAGGAAAAAAAAAGAAGATATAAATATAAAACATACCCAAAAATGTGCCATGGCATTGATTTCCATTGTTTTCTGTATCATTGTGTCAGAGCATTGCAAGAATTTTTTGCCTGTTACAATGCCGGCATTGTTCACCAAAATATGTACCATTCCAACTTCCTCCTTCATCTGTGGGTAAAATAAAGAAAAAGAAGAAATTGATCTTTTATTATTTTTATCGATTGGGATGTGTTAGGTGCGGGTTGTAAGTAACATATCGGTACAGGGAAACAAAATCAACGAACAAAGTTCAAATTCCTGCTGACGCAGTTTATGTTCACTTAAGGCCGTTTGGGAAAGGCATGAACTGATTTCTCCTCGCAAGCTATGTGTGAATAGTAATACAGTCGGAGCCCGTTAGCCCTGCAAGGTGGACCATTACCGTAAAAATTTACTTACTAGTTGAAACCACAGCAGTATCATTTAATAGGTTATGCCCACCACACGGAGTTTACAAGGAAAGCATTGGCTCAACGTACGTTTATCGGCATGGATCTGTTATCAAGTAAGAGTTCCAAATACAACTGAGGCTATTTATCTAGGGAAAGGCATGAACCAACCCCTTACTAATAAAAAAAAATATGGTAATTTACATTCCCTTTGCATATTATACCTTTTTGGAAATGCATGAATCTATTTTCCCTGTAATCGCGAAAAACAAATCAGATATTTGGATGAGGCTGCTGATTTAAGTCTGCACAAATATTCTAAAGGAATGTATGATTGTCTTTCTACAGCATCACCGAATATCTTGTCACTGTCATGCCACAATGACTGAGTGAACACTACTCACGCATAACAATCTTATCTGCCCAAAATAAAGCTGTTCCTCCTATACTTAACCTTGACAAAATCCAGTAAGATTGATTCGTACGTTATAGTCGCGGGGATAGAATAATTATATTATTCGAAGAAATACGCAGCGAAGTCTGGATATTTTAAAATAAAAATATTTATTTAAGACTCTCTCTTATTTTGCCTTCGTTGAATAGATCTCCCCACCCGTATGAAGAGAAAAGAAGACACCCCTTTTTGAATAGATATATATCTACCCGGCGGAAACAATGCAAAAAGAGAATGGTCGGTAGGAACAAAGCAGAGTTAAATAGAAATGAGTGAAATTCGTGTTAGCATGAAAGAGCTCCAGTCTTCGTTTTATTGACACCGAAGATTGAATCAACAAACATAGCAAAACCGAATCAAGAGAAGCACAGCGAATGTTGTCCCGTCGACTTGACGCATTTTATAATTGTACTGGATACACTCGATTCAAAATCGAGCCAGGATTACTCGTATTTTTTGAGAGAGTTTAAACAACACTTTTAAACTGGCGGTTTTCATCACTTCTTGCATCGCATGTTTTATAAAGCATTGTGATACTTGCCGTAGCGTGATGGCTAACAAGCTAGTGTAGTAAGTTCGACTTTTTCAAAATCCATTACACTTGGAACATTGTGCCTTAGGAAGCAAGCGTTATCAAATAAATTAACGTTTTGCCTTAAGAAGCAAGCGTTATCAAATGAATTAGCATTGTGCCTTACGAAGCAAGCGTTATCAAATAAATTAGCATTGTGTCTTACGAAGCAAGCGTTATCAAATAAATTAGCATTGTGCCTTACGAAGCAAGCGTTATCAAATAAATTAGCATTGTGCCTTACGAAGCAAGCGTTATCAAATAAATTAGCATTGTGCATTACGAAGCAAGACTTATCAAATAAATTAGCATTGTGCATTACGAAGCAAGCGTTATCAAATAAATTAGCATTGTGCCTTACGAAGCAAGCGTTATCAAATAAATTAGCATTGTGTCTTACGAAGCAAGCGTTATCAAATAAATTAGCATTGTGCCTTACGAAGCAAGCGTTATCAAATAAATTAGCATTGTGCATTACGAAGCAAGACTTATCAAATAAATTAGCATTGTGCCTTACGAAGCAAGCGTTATCAAATAAATTAGCATTGTGCCTTACGAAGCAAGCGTTATCAAATAAATTAGCATTGTGCCTTACGAAGCAAGCGTTATCAAATAAATTAGCATTGTGCATTACGAAGCAAGCGTTATCAAATAAATTAGCATTGTGTCTTACGAAGCAAGCGTTATCAAATAAATTAGCATTGTGTCTTGCAAGCAAGCGTTATCAAATAAATTAGCATTGTGCCTTACGAAGCAAGCGTTATCAAATAAATTAGCATTGTGCCTTACGAAGCAAGCGTTATCAAATAAATTAGCATTGTGCCTTACAAAGCAAACGTTATCAAATAAATTAGCATTGTGCCTTACGAAGCAAGCGTTATCAAATAAATTAGCATTGTGCCTTACGAAGCAAGCGTTATCAAATAAATTAGCATTGTGCCTTACGAAGCAAGCGTTATCAAATAAATTAGCATTGTGCCTTACGAAGCAAGCGTTATCAAATAAATTAGCATTGTGCCTTACGAAGCAAGCGTTATCAAATAAATTAGCATTGTGTCTTACGAAGCAAGACTTATCAAATTAATTAACGTTTTGCCTTATGAAGCAAGCGTTATCAAATAAATTAACGTTTTGCCTTATGAAGCAAGACTTATCAAATAGATTAACATTGTGCTTTACGAAGCAAACCTTATCAAATAAATTAACATTGTGTCTTACGAAGCAAACCTTATCAAATAAATTAATAATTGGATTAATGTCCTACTTTTTACAAACTGGTATTATATATATATATATATATGTAGGAAGCATATTTTCATTCAAGCATGTTTAGTTGAATAATATAGACATATTTATTTTAATCCTCTCAAATTCACGAATCAATTTCTTAGTGTTGTTACAAAACCGTAGTTTTAGTTATTTCTTTTCCCAAGTACTTACAATCTCATCCAAGATCATTTTCAGGGGTGAATTGCTAAGACAAAAAAAAAAAAAAGAAATAATAAGGTAATTGATAGTTGTGAATTTTTGGGAAAAATAGATCTGGCGGAGCCTATTCCTCTCAAGGTCAAACCGCAGCCAATGATCTCCAATTTGAAGGTTTTCTTTGGTCACGGACACGTGGCCGATTGATTCCATCATGGGAATCCTCTGCCCTGGCCATTACGAAGCAAGCCTTATCAAATAAATTAACATTGTGTTTTACGAAGCAAGTAAGAATTTTATCACGAAAACATTAATATCTAGAAAAAAAATTCTTACAATCTAAAAAATATTTTATGGCTTTAAATAACCTGCAAAGGCGCAGAAAACGTATCTATCTATCTATCTATCTATCTATCTATCTATAGTGATAAATCAAGAAAAAACTAAAATCTATCTCGGTTATAATTTATTTAATGAATATTTTTATATTCATCTCTTCTGATTGAAAGTATTTTTAGAAATGGAATAAATCCATCCAGACAGATTAACCGGAGGAAAAAAAGAGAAAAGATGGTCGGGAGAAAAAAAAGTGGGAAAAGGAAAAAAGAAAAAAGGAAAGATTTTAATAAGAAAGAAAGAAAAAGAAAAAGAAAAAAATTACAAATATAATTTTTTTAAAATGAAGGGTAGAGAGAGAGGGAGAGAGAGAGAGAGGAGAGAGTGAAAGAAAAAAAAAGAAAGGAAAGAAAGAAGAAATAAATGATGAGTCAAAAGTAAAATAAAATAGAATTACTTAGAAAAAAATTCCTTAAAGGGCTGAACAAGTTAATATGCCATGTAAGAGAAGGGTTAGGGTACTCGGAAGTAAAGGAGTTGTAGCAAATTGTCTAATAGAATTATGTCATTTTATACAGAAATCATCACCAATAATTTTAAACTAATAATAATAATAATGATGATATCCAACATAAAATAAAATAGATTAAATAAATAAATCAATAAAAAAGAAATAATAAATTTATATAATTATAAAGAACAAATTTAGAATATAAAAATAGATAAGGATAAAATAATAAAGATAAACTATTAATAATAGTAAAATATAAAATATATTAAATAATAAATTAAAATTTAAAATTATAAATGATTTAGTCATCAGCAAGACAACGACATAAATAATTAAATATATCTACAGATCTATATATAAAAATGTGTGACAAGTAACATAACTACATATACACATACATATGAATGCACATTCACACATATGCTAGTACTCATAAAAAATAAGAATCAACTCTTCATGTATATATCCCCTAACGTCAATGTTTTTTTAGGGAACTTTAAATTTGCTCTTATGTCTACATTTGAAAATAAGTTAATATCTTCAAAAAAAAAAAAAATGTAATTGATAGTTGTGAATTTTTTGTAAATGCGCATGAAATGCGCTCTGTTATAGTCAATTTAAAAATTAATGTTAAGAATATGTAACTTAGTTTACATTTGTTATTATTAATGTTTTAAAATACTCAACCTGCAACTTAAAAAAATTTTTTTTTACAATTTGAGCATCTCACAACATTACTTTTATAGACATTTTAAAACATTGTTGCTACACCCATAATTAATTTTATTTAGTGTTGGTTGCATTTTTTTTATAGAGCGCTTTAAGAATTTGAAGTGTTTGTCTTTTATTTTGATGGTGGAGTATACTTGTATTGTCAATATTTCTCTAAAACGTGAATGTGGACAGGAGTATTGTTTTAAATGTTGTGCAATAGAACTTGAATCCGATATGTGTATAAATAGTTGAGAGAGATATATAGTGCAAGTTTGTGTATTTAAAATTTTGTTATCGTTATTGTAACGTTTTGCTGTATTTGAGTGTTTTTTTTTATGAAAAAAAGTCCAACCTCGTGAAAGTGCAACGTACAATGACAGTAGTCGAAACAAAATATATATTTAAAGAATCAGATATTCAAACCTTTTAAAGCGGATAAAGACCTAATAAAATATGGCGCCATAGTTTACGTAATGAGTAATATAAGATTCTATATTGGACATAAGATAGGTGATCAGTTTTCTATTATTATTAAGAATTAAAATTATCCCTACCCCCAGAGTTTTTACATATTCATATAATTGGGAAAATATATTTAAAGATTCACACCTGAAAACATGACAGTAGTCAGGACCTCACAAA